GCACAGGGGAAAGGAAAGAAGGGAAAGGAAAAAATGATGAGAAATGGAAAAAATGGAAATAAAGTCTTTGTAAATAGGGAAAGGTGGAGGGTGTGAAAGGAGGGCTAGGAATGGGGAAAAAGTAAGAACCAAGATGCATTATATAAAGGTACAATTCCCAGTGAGAGATGTAATTGTGTTGTATACCTACAATGTACCAATAAAAGAATTTAATACAAAAAAAATGGAATCTGGTGATGATGGAGACTATTTCCTAGAGCAGGAAATTTTATTTTTTCCTTTTTCATTATTGAAACAAAGAAATAGAATATGTTTATTAATTTAATCTTTTGTGTTTTCCTGTGTCTGTGATTTAAATTTGAAATGAAGATTTGTTTCACTTTTGGCAAACAAATCTTATTATAATTTGTTCATTTGTTTTTCTTTTCATTATGATAAGGATGATTTTTGACTTTTCCATTTGTTTCATCAAATACCTGTGTTTCCTGTACTCTCTCTTTAGTCTTCCTCTTTGCCTTCCATAGAGATGCGATTCTGCACTGATAACTTGAATTTTGAGGTGTTCTTAAAACTGGTCACTTATTTTCTTTGATCCTCCAAAACAATATGGACCTTGGGTAAGAAATATGTACACATAGGACCAGGAATTTAGCTCACTGGTTCTGGTGCCTGCCTTGCAAGCGCAAGGTCCCGAGTTTGATCCCCGGTACCCAAAACAAAACAAAACAAAACAAGAAATATGTACACAAAGATAGTGATATTTAGGTAAATTTGCAAAATGATTATCAAACAAGCTAGAGTAGAATGGTCAAATGAAATGTAGAAGAAAAAGTGATATGTTGATTTTAAGCATGTGAGAGTAATTTCTATAAGGTGAGTTCTATATCAGTATTGCTTTAGAGACTCTAAAATTACCATTGTTAGTTCAAAGGCAAGACTTTTATAAGTGTATTTTAACAGTCTTTTAAAAATGTTTCCATTTCCTTAGGTTCATCCTGTGATCCCACCTTTATCCTGGGATGTGCTCCCTGTAATGTGATCTGCTCCATTATTTTCCAGAAACGTTTTGATTATAAAGATGAGAATTTTCTTATCTTGATGCAAAAATTCAATGAAAACTTCAAGATTTTGAATTCCCCATGGATGCAGGTGAGACCAAGATATTTTCCTAATAAATCATTTGTACTAATTTCTTTGACAAGTCCGAAATTCTACATTAGTGTCCATTTCTCAAACATTTACTTCAAAGATTTGTTTATAAAATTTTGCCTAGAACATAGAATTAGATTCATTTTTGTTCTCATCCTCTCTCTTCCTCTCTCTCTCAGATTTTTTTTCTTGCTATACTCCCCTCCTTCCCTCCCTCCCTCTTTCTTTCTGTAGGCTATAGCTACTTGTTCAATGACTTCTCTCAAATATTATAAAAATGTTTATGCATTGTGAGATGTGGTCTCTGAATTCTCTGTTCCTTTTGCTTATGTACAGCAAGATTTGACAAAGATTTCCTTGAGTACAGCAATGTGGGAGAATATAGAAGGAAGCAAGGAAGGAAAGAAAGGAGAGAAAAGAGGAGGAAACTTCTTCTAGATTGTCTCTGTGGCAGGCACTTCTTGTCATAGCCTTTACTTGCTATTAAACAGTCTAGAAGTGAGCAGAGTTGAAAGCTTATGGTCTTTTCAGGTGCTTTCTTAGCCTTTGTCTTGCCCTGTGTAGGTTTCTAGCTTTTAAAATTCAGCAGTAGGCAAGTATGTGGGCACTTTTGGGTGTCTTAATTTTCCAAAAATACTCTCCTCAGCTTTCCTTCCCAGGGTTTCAGTGTTTTACCATGTGCCTTAACTATACTTGTTTGTTTCAGGTGGCCCTGGGTTGTTTAGTGGCATTATTATTTATTTTTTTTAATTTCTAATTTTCCATTTATTATTGCTAGTCACAGGAAAGATAACACTTTCCAAGAAATTTACTTTAGTATATGTCATGTATAGATATAATTTTATATGAAGAGAAATTGTGGCAGAACTAGCAGGGGCCTTTAGAAGGAAATACAAAAAAGGCAATAAAGGAATTCTTCCATACAGACTTCTGATCTGCATTAATTTTTTTCCTCAAAATACAAAACCTTAATATTAGAAGCAAAGAGAAAAACAGCAAAGAAGAAAACTTTAAAATAAAAGACCAAGAATAAGAAATTGATCTATACAGATGCATTGCATATATAATATATATGTATGGGCTGAGTGATAACAAAAATACTTATGTATTATATTCATTTCTCATTCAGAGTTAAAAACAGCAATTTCCAATCAAGCAGGATTGAACCAACATTTTCTCAGTCTTCAATTACATGAGGAATAAAGCTGTATTAACAGTCACTTCTGATTTGCAGTATCATGATAAATGTTTGACCAGATAAAACTTTTCTCCTTGTTCACTTGTAAAAATTGGTGCCTTTTTGTAATGTTCTACAAGTTCTTCCATGGTGCTGAATTTATGCTGCCCAATGCAGTAGAAGGTCTCTTTTAGTTGGACTTTAAAATGCTTGTTTATCCCTTGTGCTTTTAATGATACTGAAAAATCATTTGGCGAAGATTCACTATCCTGGATGAGAAAATCTCCTTCATGTCCCCTTTCATTTAATGCCATTTCTGCTTGATGTCTGGTAACTTTGCCATAATACCAAGGACTGCCAGCAAGCTTTTCAGTGAGTGAAGGCCTAATATAATCACACTGTGGAGGTGGTGGTTCGAAACCTGAAGTTAATGAATTATTCTGCATAGTGGTAAAGTAGTTTTTTGGCACCAGATCAACCATCCCATTGATCTTCCTGCATTTCCACCACTCTAGGCCATTTTCTGGCTTTTCAATAACATCCATTACATCGCCTTTCTCAAAATTAAGTTCTTCATCACTGGATGAACTGAATGGGTAAAGAGCCTGTACCATATGCAACACTTGCCCAGTATTTAGGTTACTGACAACTGCTGCTAATTTCTCTGACAGTGAACCCGCATGGTCACCCAAAGGACTGTCACCTTCCTCAGTTACATAGTTTGAAGGGAACCATCCAATTTGTCCATTGTAGCTACCCCGCCACCACTCATCACTGCATTTCTCCATGACAATCACTTTTGTTCCTTTTATCAATGGTAATTCATCTTCTCTCTCAGCCATGTAGTTAAATTTCACATAGGCAGGCGTGTAGAGGTCATAAAAACATTCCCTTGGGTCAACAAAACTGTCATTAGCAGGAGATGCAGAATCTGGAACACTAGGTTTTCTTTTCACTTTTCCAATGCCTAAGGTATCCTTTAGGTTTTTTACAATAGATGCTTTTTGAGCATTGTTTTTCCTTTCCACATAGTTAGAAGGCACAAAACCTGTTTTATTCATAGAATTTCTAACTCGTCACCAGGACTTAGAATCATCCAGAAGCCATAATCTGTCATTCTTCTTGATGTCCAGCTCTTGTTCTTGTTGGGTCACGTAATCAAATTTGGCTACTACTACCACTTCTTCTGCCATCTTTCAATAGTTTCAGCACTGCAATCCCATGTTTATCACAGCACAGTTCATAACAGCCAAGTTATGGAATCAGTCTAGATGCCTTTGTCTCTCTCTGTTCTTTCATTGAGGTTTATTCCTTCCTTTTTGGTAGCAATCACACAACAGCTTTCTAAAGCAGATCCACACGACGACAGTACTGCCCAGATTTCCTCACAATGAAGAAGGCGGCTGGGGTCCGAGGGAGAAGGGAGAAAGGCGCGTTCAGAATGTGTCCACAGTCCGCGGGCTCGGTTCGCTCCGCTGACCCCGGGTGGAGAAGGGTGAAAGCGCCTTATCTGCCCTACCACGTCCCTTCCTCCCCAGCTTCGGATTACGCCACAACTGGAAGCGGGATTTTTTGAGGGACACATGGAGCGGCAAATCGCCGCACACCCGACCTCCAAGCCTCGCAGAGGCGGCGCTCCGAAGGAGGGGAAGGCCGCGGGGTCGCACCGCCCTGGGCCGAGGCTTGATGGTCGCGCGGAGAAGCAGTGCATACGTCCAGGCTCGGCTCAACGGCCTCCCCGCCCCCTCCGGCTCCGCTCGGCGCCAGCAGACGGCGTTCCCGGGCCTAACTTCGCTAAGAGGAAGCGTCGCAACGAGTTAACAGGCTGTGCGGATAGATGGGCGACTAAAGTGCTGTCTCCGTCTCTGGCAACCAGCAAGGCCGTCTCACCTTCCCCATGCCAGCCCAGGAGGCTCCAGTCTGCTGAGGAGGGCACCCAGACGCCGCCGCAGACGCCGGGATGGCCATTGCGGCTCGAGGCCTGCGCTCCGCTGGAGCTCTCGGGAGAGGAGTGGAGCATGCGCATTTAGTGGCATTATAAGGTTTGCAATATTGCCCACTGCCTTACTCCCAGTAAGTGATTATACAAAGACAAGTGCTTTGCTTCAGTAGTTCCAGGGGTCCTCAGCCAGGTTAGAACAAACAATCTCTGTTCCCTGGAACCCAGAACCAGAGGCCTCCACTGGGAACAGAGCTGTCCTTGTCAAAGCCTGGGCCAAGTCAAGGAGGAAGATGGGACAAGGACAAAAACAATGCCACAAAAATTTTCTACCATTTTTGTTGTGCACTCTCTTTTTAGAAACTTTTAAAAAATTAATACATGTTTGGACCACATAATGTTTACATTCCTTTTGTGGAGTTGGCCCACTCTCCTTTCGATTCAGTTTCCTTTTTGTTGTTGTGAACTCTTGACTATTTCCCCAAAATAAAGTTGATTGTGACAGTTTTTTTATTTTATTTTTGGTGCCAGGGATCAAACTCGGATCCTTGCACTTGCGCAGCAGGCTGCAAAACCACTGAGCTAAATCCCCGGCCCGATTGTGACAGTTTTTGCTTGATGTTTTTTGAAAATTTTGTGTAGGAATGGGCTATCTATTGTGCCAACTGTGAAGTGAAAGTTTGGACACCACAGTCCTGTCCAGATCTTAGCATCATGGCATTAACACCTTAGGAATATATCTGAGTCCATTATTTTGCAGGCAAGAAGACAATTGCCTGAATATAAGGGCTGGTGTTCAAGCTTATTGGTCAGGGATTTCCCTGCCAAACACCACACTGAAGCAGTTCTTGGCAACTTCTCAGAAGGACACCTATGGAGCTTTTGTTGAAAGCTTCCATTGTCCAGAGGCTTGTCTGCCAACCAACAATTAGAGACTTCTTCATGACCTTAATTGGCAGAAATACCCTAATTTAGGACATCAATGATAAGAATGTTTGGGCATATAGACACTGCTAGGAATCTCTGAACATTGTGGGTTGTTTGATCCTTTCCGCTAGGGTCCTAGGTGAGAAAGTAAAAAGGGGTAGGATGACAGAATGATTGGCTTTTAGAATGTATTATGCATAACTCCACATCACTGTAAGGCTCTCTGTTGTGCTAGCACATCCTACACTTGGCCTCAAATATAATTGTGTAACAATTTAACCTTTCTGGTGTACAGCTGCATACCCATGAAATGTTGAGTTGGGTTTTCATAGTATCTTTGCAACCCTCTCTGTTATAAAATTGTGATGCTATCTTTATTGGTAGTAGTAGAAATAGCATGGAGTGGCTCTGTATTCTATATAGGGTCGCCTAAACTTCCTTAACCTCTGTCTTCATCTATAAAATGAAAATCATAGCAATTCATGTTATTCTGTATTTCAAGTTAGAAAGTAAAGTAAGAGAAATGGTATGGAAATGTCTTAATATAAAAAATGTAAATAGTTCTACACATATAGGAAATTCTTATCTTCTTAGACTGTATAGTTTTCTCATTTAAAACTAACAATAGATGATTCCTTTATATGTTTAATGAAATGATTTTGCTCAAAATTTTAAAAAACATGAAAAAGATGAGAATTCTTTTTATTCACTATACTTCTATATATTTTTATTTATTTTTTTCTTTTATTTCCCCATTAAGTTTATTGGTACATTTTAGGTATAAAATACAGTTACATTCATCATTGGGATCTTGTACCTTTACATGAATATCTTGGTTCGTATTTTTATCCCCTTTCCCTTCACCCCCTCCACCCTTCCCTATTTGCAAAGACTTTGTTTCCATTTTTTCCTTTTCTCATATTGTTTCTTTTCCCTTCTTTCCTTTCCCCTACCCATCCCA